GCCTGGCAGAGTAGGTTTGTACAAAGTGGAAAGCAAAGCCCAGGGCAAACTTTAAGAGATGGCTAAGCCCAGAGGTCTAGACAAATGCATAACAAGTCACTGTGGTTAACTTATTTAGCTGTTTAGTTTTATTCATGGGGAAAATTGCAGAAATTCATTTGTTATTTTGAAGGTGCCAGATACATACATTCCTAGGTTACTTCCCTGGTCATTCAGAGCAATCTTTCAATTGCTTTAATTGTTGCTTATATGCCACCCAGAGTCATGTTTTGTGAGATGGGTGGCTATGTAGGTTTGCTAAAGAAATATATTCAGTGCATAAATTAAATGAATCTAATTCCATCAACACCTTTGGGGAGACATTTTAATTCTGTCTCTTCTCTCTTTAATTGCAAGGGAACATTTATTTTTAAAAAACGAACGATTAACATTTGGATAGCATTACTTTTACATATACTGTAAAAGAGGTGGGGGGAGATGAGGTGGGAACCCAGAAGTGAAGATGGAATGTACAACCATGTCATTACCCACTACACACACACACACACACACACACACACACACACACACACACCATCATCATTCAGGTGTGGGGTTTTTTTCATGCTCTTGGACCTTTTTTGAACGCTCGAACCCTTGTCCTCTGCCTATGTAGCAGACCAAGCATGCACATGGCAACCTGATCACAATTATCCCCAGACTTCAGAGGGGTGTTTTGCAACACTATTTAAATTATAGATGTCAGATTCTTCCAATCAAGATATGGCTGTCAATCACAGTTTGTGATTAAGTTTCAAGGCTTAGCTTCACTTTTTGGCTTGCCTTGGCAGAAAACTCACAAACACAGCTTGGATAGATTAGAATGTTTATTGCAGGCCAAAATTGCAAACATTTACAATCACAAATAAATGCAAATACAATATAAAAGTGCATTATAGTACAAAGGCAGAGGTGGTATTCAGCAGGTTCTGACCAGTTCCGGAGAACCAGTAGCAGAAATTTTGAGTAGTTCGGAGAACCGGTAAATACCACCTCTGACTGGCCCTGCCCCCATCTATTCTCTGCCTCCCGAGTCCCAGCTGATCGAGAAGAAATGGGGATTTTGTAGTAACCTTCCCCTGGATTGGGGTGGAAATGGAGATTTTACAGTATCCTTCCCCTGCCACGCCCACCAAGCCACGCCCACAGAACCAGTAGTAAAAAAATTTGAATCCTACCACTGTACAAAGGTAGCAGGGACATATGTTCTTTGCAGTTTCAACTCAACTCTTCCTTCCTCTTTACAGATTGTTTGAGACCTTGAAAGTTAAAGGTTGTTAAACGTTTTTGTTATGACCTTCTTTAGCCTGGGAACTGCTGGTCCTCTCCTCACTAGCTTCAACCCCTACAGATATTATTTCTCAATGTGTATCATCTCTCCCTGTACTGATCATCTGCAAACTGCATGCAGTACTGTGCTGGTTCTGAGTAGAGGAATGAAGCATTTATTCTTTTAGACTGACATATGGCCATTCTGCTAAAATATGGTGCAGCCCATCATATTAAAAGTATACCACCCCCTATGCACATGTTAACTCAGCTTTGGGGCTGAATTTAGCTTAACCAAAGACATATCTCTGGGGTGAGAAATCTGTTGGCCTTTAAAGATACAATTCACAATTGTAGCTTGTAGTTTTCCAAGTTGACCTAGCAACTTAAGGAGTTACAAATACTTTTTTAAAAAACTGAAATATCTGCACTAGTATCAAAACTCACTGCCAACAACCCACTTTTGTCTGTGAGGGATTGAATAGCAAAGCTGGGTATTTTTAGAGAGGGCTAAAACCATGGATTTGAGCATCTGTCAAAATTATACATGGGTCACAGTGTTGTTTATTATTTAGTCATTTAATTTTTGGCTAATTAATCACTATCAGTTATTTTGTGATTCAGAGGGAGGTTGCAAAGATTCATTTAACCCTTAAGGTGTCACATTACTGCACAATCTGGGAATATCTATCTTGATCCAGTTTTTTTTCGTTATTACTTATTACAATTTATTTTATGTTTAAAATAAGGGCTTTTTCTTTTTTTAAAAAAAAATGACTTGAATACAAAGAGAAGGGAATTCTACATTGTTCCAAAATATTCACACTGTGAATTTTGATTCCTTGCATTGTCCCCCAAAAAAACACTACAGAAATACTTTACTTTGAATAGATTTAAGTGGGAATCTATTGTGAGTCACTCCCAGCAGCAGCCCTAAAAATAAAGATGTTGTAAAAGCAAACAAGGCTAGAATGATAAAATGGTCAGTTTAACCCTGTGACCTATATATCGATTGACTCATTGGGCCCTTGCTTTGTGAGCAAGAGGCACAGAGGCACAGAAAAATAGGAAACTCCTGTATCCTTTTCGTGTGTGTGCCTTTGAGTCACATCATTTGCCACATCATTTGACTTGTTGCTCTTCTGAAAAGCCCTGAATATATAGTTTTGTCAGCGGGCCTGGGGACCCCAAATGGAGATGGAGATGGAACTGACCAAGTGGTTGATTTGATTGTGTTGCTGCTGCTGTGGGGTGGGGGGTGGGGTTGGACTTGTATGGTTTTTAAATTGTGGATTTTTTAATGTTGTAAGCTGCCCAGAGTCACCTGCGTGTGAGTTGGGTAGCCATCTAAATTTGAGGGAGGGAGGGAGGGAGGGAGGGAGGGAGGGAGGGAGGGAGGGAGGAAGGAAGGAAGGAAGGAAGGAAGGAAGGAAGGAAGGAAGGAAGGAATACACCACCTGGACAGGTCTCCAAATTTTCTTGGCAACATGTCAACAGTGACTTGCAATTCCCTTCTTCTCAGTGCTGAGTAAGTGTGATTGGCCCAAGCTCACCCAGCCTAAGGCAGAACTAGAACTCCAGCCTGATGTATGACTACATATACTGGCTCTTGAACTAGCTCTGTCTCCATAGAGACTATTTATAAATCTACTGTTGCTATTGCTTAAATTAGAGGAAGGCAATCTACAGATATATTCCCAACCTCAGTACCCAATTTGTAGCCCCGACCTCTTTAGGCAAAATTGACATTTCCAGACCTTTTGATTTTTAAAGGTTGGAAGAAATTTAAGTAGCAAAATGCGATAAGAATTATAGATATTTACAATATCCACAGCACTGCTTAAAACCCTGGTTGGCTGGTCTACCAGTGGAGGAAATATTAAAAGGGAAGAGTGTTCAACAAATTTCAGCCACAGGCAGCCCAGTGTTGTCACTTTATAATCTAAAGCCCCTAAAGGCTCAAACAGAAAGTGATCCTCTCCCACCCCCCAAAAAAGACAGGTAAAGCTGGTAAGAGCCTTGGTGGCGCAGCAGACTAAAGCACTGTTAAGTGCTGTTAAGTAACACCAGCTGCCTGCAATTACTGCAAGTTCAAATCTCACCAGGGTCAAGGTTGACTCAGCCTTCCATCCTTTCGAGGTAGGTAAAATGAGGCCCCAGTTTGTGGGGGCAATAAGCTGACTCTGTATAAAAAAGAACACCATGGTGGGGGGGGCGAAAGCCCTACTAAGCAGGTACTAAGCCCTACTTAGCAGTATGAAGGCTATTGCTTAATGCATTGTAAGCCACCCTGAGTCTCCGGAAAAGGGCGGCATATAAATTGAACCAATAAATAAATATATAATTTAATAACATTTTTTAAAAGCCAAATTTGAGATGCCAGAAGTTGGACCTAAGATTTTTGCATGAAATGCTCGGCTCTACTAATGAACTGCAGTCTTTCCTTTACCCTCCCCTGGATGACTGGTTCAGCAATAGAGTCCATTTTTAAATCTGCCAAATTAATATGTTGGCCTTCTGATCAACATGTTCAGGTGGCAAGTGATGGGGGAAATCCTTTATGGCAGAGGTCTCCAACCTTGGCAACTTTAAGCCTGGTGGACTTCAACTCCTGAGAGTTGAAGTCCGCCAGGCTTAAAGTTGCCAAGGTTGGAGACCTCTGCTTTATGGTGTGAAGAGTTCTGGACAAGATGGGTCCATAACAATCTAACAAAAAGTATCTAAATGTTTTACTTTTCCATCAGGACAAGAGATATACAGGAATCTCTGAGCAGATCTCCAAGGCACATGCAACATGCAACACAGCCCAGAAAGTTACTTTAAAGAAGTTTGATGTAGTGTAATTTCCCTCCCCATCCCAAAACAATGTCACGTATTCGGATCGGCAGCAGCTCCTCAGGGTTAGGAAGGGGTCTGTTATGGAAGAGGAACTGATGCTCCGCTGTCTCCCCCACCCACCCCCCAACGAGAGCCCCTCTCCAGCTATTCCTCTACAGCAAGTACAGCAAGGAACTTGGCAGCTTTAAGACTTGTGGACCTCAACTCCCAGAACTCCCAACTTCTCTGAGTTGAAGTCCACAAGTCTTAAAGCTGCCAAGTTTGAAGACCTCTGCTCTATAGCCTGGGACCTCCCACCAGGGGTGAGATCCAGCAGGTTCTGACAGGTTCTGAAGAACCGGTAGCGGAAATTTTGAGTAGTTCGGAGAACCGGCAAATACCGCCTCTGGCTGGTCCCAGTGTGGGGTGGGAATGGAGATTTTGCAATATCCTTCCCCTGGAGTGGGGTGGAAATGGAGATTTTGTAGTATCCTTCTCCAGCCACGCCCACCAAGCCACACCCACAGAACCGGTAGTAAAAAAAATTGGATTGCCCCACTGCCCCCCACCCACTTTCCCAATGCTACTAGCCGGCACAGCTAGTCCACGTTTAGCTAGATCCCTTCGTGCGAAGACTCTCGCAACGCAAAGAGATCCTTCCCGGGGCAGCGGGGCGTAGGATCGCGGCTCCCCCCCCCCCCCCCCCCAAAAACGCCGGGTCACGCGGCGGAACAGCCAAAAGGGGCCGGCAATGCCGGCCCCGCCCCGCGTGAGATTCACCCCGGCCCCCTTCCCCCCCCCCCCCCCCCGCCTTCCACGTGGGAGCGCAGGCAGGGCTGTCTTCTGGGCTTCCTTCCACTTTCTAGCGCCAGTGCGCCTTCTCCTTCGGGGTTGGGAAGAGCAGGCAGGCAGGCAGGCGCGGTCGGGAGCGTCTCTGTCCTGAGCAGCCCGCGCCCGTCTCTGCTAAACCGATCGGGTTTCTTTTCCGCCTCTGTCCTCGGAGCCAAAGGGAGAGGTTTGCCCACGAAGGGATGCCTGTCTGGTGAGCCGGGACTGGAAGCGGCGGGCCGTGGAGAAAAAAGAAGGAGCGAAGGTTGGGAAAAAAAAGAAGAGAAGCGCCGGGTAAGGAGGGGACCCGCAAGGTTCTCAGGGGCTGCCGAGGGAATCAAATTGGGGGAGGGGAGGGAGGGGGAGGGAGGGAGGGAAGGAGAGAGAAAGAGAGAGAGAGAGAGAGAGAGAAATTTGGGGCTACTGTGGGAGCAAGAATGTTATGCTGCTGCTGCTGCTGCTTCTGCCCAAACATCTGGGCGATGTTTCTAGTTTGCTTCCCCCAAATCAAAACTTTTGTAGCCTCGCGAAGTGTCACAAAGCAGTTTAAGATTGGGAGCATTTTTTATTTATTTATTTATTTTTGAGATGCCTCACTGTCTTTATTCTTTCTCTCCATTCTTCTTCAAGGGCTTTGGGCAATAGTGGAAAGTTTGGTTCCCTCCTCCTGCCTCCCCTCAGCCCGCCGCAGCCTTCCTACTGTGCCTTCTGTTATGGCTGGGTAGCCATAACAAGGGTCCCAGTCTGGTGTTTGTACTCCAGATGTGCTTGTACTCCAGATGCACTTCTGAAATCCCCAGCTATTTGACCACACCGGCTTACGGGTTATGGGAGCGTAGTCCAATTTCCCTGACGGGCACCAAGGTTGGGAAAGGTTTTTGACAGGCTTTCAGGCAGAGCAAGGGAACTAAAAAAAACAACAACGGTGTACCATATTCTGCTCTTTTTATGTGCGGCTGAATGGAACTGGCTGGTGTTCCACGGTTGCTAAGTGACAATGTCTGCAAAATCAGTTGGTGGTAGTTGCTTCAAGTTCATTAAAATGGGCACAAAGGTGTAATTTTGTGTACACTGAGTCAATGAATAAGTATAATGCGCTTTCCTCCCCACACACTGAATCCTGCTTTATATGCATGTGCTTCCAGTTTCCACTTTCATTTCAATTCCAGTTCAATTTCATTCCCCAATTTTTGCTCCTCCTTAAAACTGCAACCATCCTGCCTTTCTTTCCCTCCAGGGTAGATTATGCAAACATAAAGAAGGAAAGTTAGGCTTTGAAGCCGCCTTTGTATTTGCAGGTTGGGTGTGTTGTTTGCCAGCTGTCAAGTTTTGGGGAGTTTTTCTTCTGTCTCTGGTGATATCAGTACCTTTTCCCTACTTGACAAGAACGAAAAGTTTACTTCCAGACTACTAGCCATGGCCATCCAATTAGGGAAGTACTCTTAAGTGCTACATAACCATTCGATCTGCATATCATCACATTAGCAAGATTGCAGATGTCACTGAGAGTTATTAATGGAATTTAAAGTACCGAGAATGTTGTACGTCTTAAAAACAATTTATTACAGCACAAAATTTCATGGATTAAAGCCCAAAGCATCTGATGACAAAGAATTTTTTCTATTTGTTTTAATGGCAATTCTTGAAAATGTTCAGCCCCTGGAAATGATATATTTTCATCCCATATTTTAACTGAAACTAATTCCCGAGACCATTGCTTACTTTAAAAACATTTTATAATAATGAAGAGAAGGAAGTTGCTAGCCATGAAAAGTTCAATGCTGTCATGTTTCCTCCAGCTCTTCTGCCTTGAGCTGCAATAGGGAGGGTTAATGATGTATTGTTTTTTGGAATCTCACATTCCAGTGGAAGTTTATTCCCAGTGAGCACAATGGAGTTTGCTCCCGAGCGAGTGGTTTGCTCCTTCATTGTCTTCTGTGGCTTACACAGTGTAAGCATGTTTGTGTTATCAACCACAACTGTCTGTGAAGGCTATTTTTTTTTTGTATTGTTCATTTTGCAGTTTCATTTTCTTCCAATCACCCTATTCACAATTCCTTCTTCAAGGAAAGACTCTCTGTATTTGATCAGTCTGCCATCTCACAGATTTTCATAAATGCCTTGCTTTCCCTGTATTGGTTATGGGGAACAAATAAATCTGAGTGAAGGCCTGAAGTCTTCCAGATGTATAGGTTCCCATAATTCCCAGCTAGAAGATAGGGAAGACTGACTGAAGAATTTCTTACCCAGCAAGATTCACAAACGGTGCTCTTTGTGTACTTTTTAAATAGAAAAGCAGAATTAAAATATTACAATCATACAGATAGTCCTCAATTTATGACCAATTGTTTAACAGCCATTCAAAGTTATAACACACTTGGAAAGGGTGCTTTGTGGCCCATAAAGCACTTCCAGCTATCATAAAAAGTCATGTTAGTGCCCTCCTATGGTGATGAGATCTCAATGTGGGTGCTTGGCAACCTCTTTGCAATTATGACCAGTTGCCAAGTGTGTCATGATCACCATTTGCAATCTTCTCTGTCGACTTTCCCAAAATATCAGTGGGGAAGCCAACCGGAAAAGTTGCAAGCTGCTGCTGCCTGCAGGATAGCTCCCTGTAATCTCTGGGGGCTGGCTGAAATAGCTGCCTGATGGACAGAGCTGAACTCCTTCAGCAGGGTGAAGGAATGGAATTCAGATCCTGAAGATCTGCACCCCCAAAGACATTATTTTCCATGCACAGAGGAGAGCTGACATCCTCTCATGGGGTGAAGAAATGAAGCTCATGTTCTGCACCCTGCCAAAGATATTCCCTTCCATGCTTGGAGAAATGCTGAACTCCATTGGCAGACAACTCTTTCAAACAGCTCCTAAAGACAAGAGGAAGCTGAAATCCAAGCAGAGAGGCAGCATAGTAAGGTAAAGAGTGCAGGATGGCTCAGGTGGGTGTGGGAGGCCCTAGGATGCCCAACACAGGCCATAATGCAAGTGTCTCTCCCTGGGGATGAAAATCCTACTTCACCAGGTAAGATTTTCAGCTCCAAAGTCTCCCCTGCCCCACAAGAGGAGCCTTGGGCTCTTTTCCTGAGACTCCATCTGTATGATCGTTTAATAGGTGGGAATGCCGGGATTGCAGTCATTACTAAAGCAGTCTCGTGGGCAGTCATGTGACATGTCACTTAATTTCACTCAAAGACTGAGATTCCAGCCCTAACTGTGGACATTAAGTGAGGACTATCGTAATAGGCAGAGGCAGATGGATTAGACAGTAGGAGCAATAATGTCTTCCTCCATTTCTTGCTACCATTTCAGAGTTCACTGCCTTTTTATGGGGAAGTTTCATTTAGTAAACATGATAAACACCTGTTGTTAGATCCTGTCTGCAACCTATATTCATATGTTTATTACTGCTCATTAAATGTATATTCTACCCTTTTTCTAAGAGCTCAAAGCTGCTGATTTGGGGATTTCACTTCCTTTTATCCCCAGACCAATCCCCCAGGTTGGGCGGAGAGTGCCTGGTCCAAAGCAGGGGTGAAATCCAGCAGGTTCTGACAGGTTATGGAGAACCAGTAGCAGAAATTTTGAGTAGTTCGGAGAACCAGCAAATACCACCTCTGGCTGGTCCCAGAGTGGGATGGGAAAGGAGATTTTGCAATATCCTTCCCCCAGGAGTAGGATGGGAATGGAGATTTTGCAGTATCCTTCTCCTGCCACGCCCACCAAGCCGCACCATGCCCACCAAGCCATGCCCACAGAACCGGTAGTAAAAAATTTGAATTTCATCACTGGTCCAAAGTAATTGGGTGAATGGGTGAGTTTCCATGACTGAGGATGAATTCTGCTCCTAAATCATCATCTTAACCCCTATATCAGTTTAATTGCCTTGAATGGCAGTTTAATCAAGGGATGGGAAACTTCTTAATGGTACATTATTTTTTTCTTATTATTTCAAGCTCCAGGGCATATAATATCTGGTGATGTAGTGATGATTTTATTTATTTATTTTATTTATTTGTTCAACTTGTATGCCGCCTTTCTCCGAAGACTCAAGGCGGCTTACAATGCATTTAAAAACCATATATAAAAACATTAAACATTAAAAACAATTAAAACCCATTCATGGCCGGATCTCGCCAGATCGCAACAGCGAGATCAACGGCCCCAGGCCTGCAGGAAAAGCCAGGTCTTCACCGCTTTTTGGAAGGCCAATAGGGTGGGGATGTTCCAGATCTCAGGAGGTAACTGGTTCCAGAGAGCTGGGGCAGCCACAGAGAAGGCCCTCCCCCGTAGGCCCGCCAGCCGGCATTGTTTAGCTGACGGGACCCAGAGGAGACCAACTCTGTGGGATCTTACCGGTCGCTGGGAGCTGATTCCCAAGGGCCTTACAAAAATTTCCCTTTTTTCCATTTGTCAGAGCCTGAACAGTATACTGATTGTGAAATTGGTGTAAGCCTCACAAGCCTCATCATTGGTTTTGTTACTTTAGTAACACATGCCAAAATAATCAGGGTCTACTTGCAGTCCATGGTCATGGTTGTCCCTCCTTGGCTCAGTATGTCATACTCTGACATAGCCTTTTTGGTTACCAGCTACAAGTGTTTTTCAAACCTAGTGTTTGAGATGTCCAGGACTGCATTTTAACTTTCTGTACATAGACTACATGTCATCATCTTTCTGGCAAACCCAACCAGCTTGCTTCCTTTTGTGTAATATCAAAAAATAATGTCTCCTTGTATCAAATTCAACTCTTGGCAATTTCATACATGTGACAACAAGGAGTTTGCCATTGACTCTTTGAATGGTTCTGTATCTTTCCTATCTAATCTATCAATTTTCTGTACAGCTATCAATGGCATTTGCGGGGCAAGTCAAAAAGTCAAGATGGCTACTGTAAAAAGTCAAAATGGCAATTAAAGTGGAGGGGTTTAAATCAGGTGATCAGCAGAGATGGGTTTCAGAAGGTTTTGACCAGTTCTGGAGAACCGGTAGCGGAAATTTTGAGTAGTTCGGAGAACCGATAGTAAAAATTCTGGCTGGGCCCGCCCCAATCTATTCTCTGCCTCCCAAGTCCCAGTTGATTGGGAGGAAATGGGGATTTTGCAGTTACCTTCCCCTGGAGTGGGGTGGGAATGGAGATTTTACAGTATCCTTCTCCTGCCACACCCACCAAGTCATGCCACGCCCACCAAGCCACACCCACAAGACCAGTAGTAAAAAAATTTGAAACTCACCACTGGTGATCAGTACTGCCATCTTGACTTTGTTTATATGTCCCCACCCCAAATGGGTGC